GACAAGATATAATTTATAGTAAGTGGACTATTTCCATCTAGAGAAGCTGTATATAATAGATCGGGTAGGCGTGTAAACGTGTTTTTATCATGGTTTACAAATGACAATATATTGGTCTAGTTTTGCTATACTTTTCCATATTATCATATAATAATTAGAAAATCAACGTAACCTTAAGGTATAGTTGTGAAAGGTGTTGACTATTAAAGATACATTATGTAAGATTTAGATAAAGAGCTGACCATTCTTGCTATAATAGCTCAAAAATAGATAATGTAAAATGAAAATATTGAAAATTTCATTCAAATTACTTCATTCTGAGCCAAGTTATCACTGCAGTTTTGACAAGATGTGTGCATAGTGGTAACCAGGGCACTGGTATATTTGAGACTTACATGTAGCCTCGCTTTCCCATTTTTAAATTAAATTTTTAAATGGCAAACTGTTCTAATCTAGTTAAAATCTTGAGTATCCGATGATATCGAGAGTTGATTATGGTCTTGTTTTGTTAATAAATGTCTAATTAATAGTTTATATAACATTTCAGGCCTAAAGAAAGACCTGCAATAGGCAGATTTAGCTCTTGCATAATGTATGTTTAAATTTGTTATTCAAAAATAGGGGTCATGAATCTTTTTGGATCTAGCCCACCTATAATTTACTTTATTATATTATAAGCATTATCTTGATTGAGAAAATGGAATTAAAGGCTATTCCACACAATCTAGGTCATCTCCCCAGAAGAACTTTATTTCAATAATTCACTTATTTGTAGGATTTTTAGCAGTGGGAGAAAGCCTACCTGGTTAGGAGATTAAAAAAGACACTTTTGATGAAGGACTATGGTATAGGGCTCACCATACCCACCCTCTCAATTAAGAAAATGGGCTTAATGACTTGTCAGTATAATACTTTGATATTTTGAGACTTTTTATTTTCTGTGTGGTTTTACAATAAGACATAAATGAATTTTGCCAGGGCAGTGATACTTCCATCTTCTTTTCTTTGAATGCCAGCTGTTAAGGCATTTGCTATTGATGTGTTAACTGAATCGTTGCTTTTTGCATCATCTGAAGAACCAGACACTTTTTTGGCTTGTCTCACAGCTGACAAATTGGTAATTAGCTTGAAAAATGCATTATATGTTCTTGAAACTTGAATCCATCTTTGGAAAACTATCACTTTTTATACACTGCAGAAGATTTTATTTCTGCTATTTGAATAGAAAATATCTCGCTTCTTTTGTTTCCCACCCATAGTCTTATACTGTTTGCCAAATTTCTACAAATGTATTTATTAGCAGGGGCAGACTCGTTGTACACACTGAAAACTATTTCAAGAATATATCTATGTCCTGAATGGCCACCATACTGTATGTAAAAACTTTGTAATGAGGTTTTACTCCGTTTCACATCTGCAATACATACAAAGACTAAATAAACATTTTATATTTGATTAAATGGAAGCGGAATAAATACTTCTCAGAACTCGTGAAGTAGCCTATACTTCACTTGGTGTTTTTGACTAAAATCATCGATTTGTAAATTAAAATGTCTGTCAACTAGCTTGGTGTTTGTTCTGAAGCATAAGTTTAGTATGGATCAGACTGGGTAATTCTGGGCCCTCATACCAACTTGTTTCCTCATAGATCATTTTTTTCCTCAGATTTAGGTCATTATATTTTTCAATGGATGCGAAGATGATTTTTATATATTTTAAGAAAAGTATGTCAAATCAGGATGGAACCCAGAACCCTCTACTTTTGGCTCTCTGACCTCGTCCCAGTTAGCCCCTGTTAATTAGTAAGGAGGGGCAAATATGTCTTCTTTTGGGCAGTTCAAAGTGCCATGCCTTTTCAATCTAAATTACCTAGAAATTGAATTTCAAATATTTTTTTTTATATGAATTTACTCAGAAACATTATTTTTATTAGGAATGTAGAATGTTATCTTGATGATCTAAGCAAGTAGAAATTAAACTTTTGAAAAAACAAAATGATGAACAAGCCAAAAATAATTTTATTTTGTGTTAACCTCCAGAAAATATAATCTCTATGATAAGATAATAAACGAGCATCAGTATGTTGAAGTGGGATTTGACTTATCACAGGTTATCTAATGTAAGTTTTAACTCACTGTCCCTAGATACATTCCTTGTTAATGCTTGAAGGGGAGATAACGATCTAATCTTAAACTCTTGATGAACATACAAGTTATAGAGTACATCAGAGAATTACTCTCAAGTACATCTTGGAGTGAAAATTAAATAGGATATATTAATAATCTATATTATTAAAGTTTTAATAACTACTGACATACCTGAGTTCTCCAGCAATTTTCTTAAGTGATCAAAGATAGGTAAATTAAGTTTTGTCTATATATACTTGAAAGTATATAACTATCTTAGTAACTTATTACACATATTTTATAAATCTGAAGGTAGGCTACTTAAAATTGAAATAAGTATTTGAAAACTCATTTATTTTAAAGATATATTAATGTATTAGGTTTTTTAAAACTCTTACCTTTAATCTGATAAAATTGTTATATTAAACTATATGTATATGACAGATTATTTGTATAGTTCGGAGGTAAAATGTTTAAGTCCCCTATAATCAGTCGATTTACAATTAGACCATACCATACCCTTGTAAAGAAGTAGTTAATCTTCATATACTGTATATGTAGTGCTAGCCAACCATAATTTAAATTGGATTTAATTTAATTAGTTTAATCAATAATGGAAGTATAATCAATCATTTTTCGGATGCATTAGGGATAATGACATAAAAACTGTCGGTCTTGATTAAAATACAGATCTATATTTTGTTTCATTTTTTTATACTTTCGTTGGCCTACACTACATGAAGATCTGACCAGTTGTATCGATGAGTCACATCAGAGGTCATACTAGCGGCTTTTGGCCCTATGACGTCAGACATTTGATTAACCAATCGGCATTGATGTTACTAGTGGATTACCCACAGTTCCATGCAAAAACGCCTAAAGCTCGCTGTAACAGACCGTTTCACACCATTCAGAACACCTCAAAGATAACAACTCTTCCAGATCCTAGTGTAGTAAAGACAAGTAAAACGAAATTTTGAACTATAAAAACAAAACGAATGGGATCTGTGTTTTAATCAGTTTGCTCTATCTACTTACTGTTCAGCCATTTTCTTCGTACAATCTTGATAATATTCCCTCTCAAAGTATCCAGTTTTATGATTTCAATTCTGCATGAAATGTATTGGATTATTGAGCTGTGCATCAAGGAGGTCAAATTAATCAGCCTGCTAGTTAAAATACATTGAGAGGCAAACCTGGGGCATGTAATTTTTATCTGCTAGATATAATTTAAGATATGTTGTACACCTGTTGCTTTTTGATAACCTCATGATAGATTTTTCAAGAGCAAAACATTATGGATTACCAGGTATGGTACTATTCTAAGTTGTAGTTCATCATGTTGCATCTGACTGTTCCAGGGGGGGTTGGATGGCTGAATGGTTAGCACGTGTGCGCTGTATCATAAGGCCTGTCATTGAGTCAACTAACGTGGTTTCGAATCCCCGGTTGTATGTGAAAAGGAGTAGGGTCGCCTGTCCAACCTCGTGGGTTTTCTCCGGGTTCTCCGGTTTCCGCCCACTGCTAAAGACCCCTACGCTGAAGCGAATTATTGAAATAAAATTAAACCATATGTTAGTCCCGAAATGACCGAGTTTGTGTCGAGTGGACGTTAAACCCCATTTCTCTCTCTCTCTCTGTGCATTTAGCTTGGTCTATAAAATCGAAGTCCCAAAGCATTACTCCATAATTTACCTGTATGTAGTAATATGTCTCATGCAAAAATAGAATATACATACTCTTTCAGAACATCTGATACCACATCTTGTCTTATTTATTAGGAAAGTTGAAATATCCACTTTTGTATCTACAAGTTCCTGTCCAGAATACTGTATATCAGATTACCGGTGTTGGTCTCCCCCCTGGCAAAATTCTGTCCCTAAATCTTATTTACCATTTTTAGTCTCTAAATTAAATTTTAGAACCTATCCTTCAAATTTTATCTAGACTGAGCTCTAACACTATCTTGGCATCTAGGTTTCTTTTATTGTATCTAAAGAAATAGACAATATTTTTTGCTTGTGTTAAAAAATGACAGTTTTAAGAGTTGTCAGAAATTTTAATCCTTTGGGGTTTTTTTTTTACCTTTGGCAAATGACATGAAATGGTTTTATATATAAAAACATTCCTTCTAGCCACACTCTTTTTACAAGAAAATGTGGAGTCCACGGACTTTGATAATGGCCTTTAGAAAAAGATAGACATCTTTCTAATTGGTGATAAAGTATTGATGATTGTGAAATGTCATTTGAAGGTTGCTGCAAAAGTTATCTGATTACATACAGTATGTAAACTAAAATATATATATTAGAAGATATCTACAGTTATCATTAATACTGATGAAATTATTTTATTAGGAAATAACTTCCATAAAGATTATTCTAGCTATTATTATATTAGACTGGAACATAATTTAGCTATTAACCTTCCGTAGAAATAATTGATTGATGAAATATGGAAGGGTTTATTTTCTGAAATCATCCAGGATATTGCATAAGAACTCTGTCTTGACTTGTGAGAGATTTAAAAAAAGACTTAGTAGTAGCCTGCACTTGCTAGGTATATTTCCCCAAGATCTGTGTGTGTCCGTTTATTTTTTGATATTCATTAATTTGATAGATTATGCTCAACAAAAACTAGTTCAAACTAACAGATGAAAGGATGTCGAGTACAGTGTGTCTAAATAGCCGTGTCATTGGAATGAAAAGCACACATCCGGGATACAAGTTGATAGTGCACGCCAAAGATCCTTTCTGAAAGGAAAGCGATCTGATTAAAATCAAATGTTAAATACATTTCGTTTTGTTTTCAAAATCCTACTACATTGTTCTCAGACATATTTTCTTTGAAGGATTTAATTTTTATGTTTTTCAGATAGAATACAATATGGAAAGGGCTCGTACAGTGAGGTCTGGTATACCTACATTAGCAGGGAATGGTATACCCGGTAGAGCCCATCACTTGACATCACGACAAACAGCCAACACAGGAGTAATAGCTCATCCATATACTGTACATAAACATGCTATAGTTCGACCAATCAACTCAACAGGTTCCGAACACAAAATGAAACATGAAGTAAGTTTTTTCAACAAAAAAAGACATGTAACTTAAAGGTGACGATTCATGTATTACTATATTCTAAGAGATAAGTAATGATCACAGCTACTACTTGTACTTTAGAACAACACAACAACTCTTGTCGAAACGTCATATATTATGTGTACAAACTATTGATTGTATTCCATATAAATTGTGATGTGTTTTTGCTAGAATCAACTTCTAATAAATTTTTAAACATCACACGAAATTAAAGATTGCTACTAGAATCAATGACAAATAACTCTTCAAACACCACACTAAATTAAAGATTGCTTTCATAACATGACTGGCAGAACGAGAACTAAACACTGTCAATTTAAAAGGTTAAAAACATGACTAAAATTTAATTTCACGACACCGTTTTATGTATGATAAGATAATTTCAGGGTTAAAAGCCAAAGTTTGTATATTAACTTTGTAATTCATTGACATGTAGAATATTATTTTGATGTAGTGGACACTTTACATGTGCAAATGTGGTGAGAATTTTACCATGACAGCAGCCTTACTGTCTCATTTGTCACAGATCTAGACTTCCTGGGATTCATTTATGCTCAATGTGTATTGTAAATCTCAAAGTTATTTCTAGCAATGGCATTAATTTTCTGCTCAGTAGTTTTGAGAGAGAACTGCAATTCATCCAGATCAATCCAGATTGTACATTAGACTTTCTGATATTTTGTGCATAGTAAATTGAAGATAACAATTAACAAAGCCACAGGGCTACTACATATACAAGAAGTCAGAAACACCGACATTGTAAGCCATAAGAAAACTATCAAATTAACAGCCGTTTTCAAATATTTATTAAACAATGCAGGTAAACTGTTACAAATCACAGATAGCACTAATGTTACGAATTTTTAAGGAAAACCCTAGCAATACACAAAATCCAAGCATCAAAAGAAACCCAAAAGTCTTGTAATAATGTTATATTGGGCTCAACATGCCTTTAAAATGACTAAAATAACCTATCGATAACCTATCATGTTGTCAAAATGATATAATTGCTAGTTTAATTATACAATTAATTTCAGTTTGAGTAATCGCTTGAAGCAACATCAATGATAACCATTCAGTTGTGTTAAGAAATAGTGAAGATGGCATCAAATTTTGTAATTGAATACTATTTAATATAATAAAACATAGACTCACTGTCTGCTAAGATTTCCTTTTTTTTTCTTAAAACTTGAATACATTTTACATTCTTTTATTGAATTTAATACATAGACTTGTAAACATAATTATGTGAAACTGATAACATAAAATGTGAATCTTCATTTTATAGATAAGAAATCAGATTTGAATTGAATTGTAAAGGCGGAGTAAAATATATTTAATTTTGAATTAAGATGTGAAAAAAAGACTTTTGCATTATTAAGAAGATTATTCTTGAAATTGCTCATTATTTAGAGTTTTGTTTTGCCTACATTCATTTAAGAGGCTCTTGTCAAGATTTTTGTGAACTCTGAAATGTAAAAACAGTGAGAATGAGTAAGTAATGGGGTTTATGGTGCATTTCAACATGGAGTGTTAATTTGTTTTGTGAAGTGGTTAACTGTCCACTTTAAAAATTTTGATGTCTGCAGATAGAACCTATGTTTTTGTACGCAACATTCGACAGTTTAAGCCAATAAAATGAAAAATGAAATTATTAAACCTACTTGTCTTGTCCTAGCACTAATTGAAATAACTCATCAGATCTTCCCAATTCAATACTTTATTTTGACCTAAATCAGACAGGTTTAGCATTTTAGTCATAGAATATAAATTTAATACTGCTCCAGGATCTTAAGATTGGAGATTTGTCTGATTATCCTGCCATATAGATAATTTAACTAAATCAAAAACATTTATCTGAAGTACTTGTAATAAATATTCCAAAATGAACTGATCTTGTAGGTGGATTATACTTATTTCTACAATTTATTTTATTGTTTAATAAAATAAAAGATGTATTGCATGGAATACAAATTAAATTGTTTTCTTCTGTCAATAATCATTAATCCAGACCAACCATGAGTCTAACAGCCATACAATATTGGTCAAATGTAATGATTTATTGTCAAGTAAGGGGGGTACATATTTGGTAACTGGTTCTGATTTATACTAAATAGTTGATGTAACTTGTCAACAAATATTCATGAAAGGTTTCATATACAGATAGATAAATGAGATCTCAGTCTGTGTGTGACACATTAAGTTGCGAGATCTTGTCATAAAATGGTGAGAAAAAAGACATTTTATACAACAGTAACTCATCCAGCCAATATCTTATGAATGAGACACTAGTTTATCTATGAACTTGTCGAGACATTTAATGACTTCACATCGTACATGTAGGTAGGCAACATTTCGCTCCTTAAGATTGTTCTTTCTCACAAGATCGCTCAAGCAAGACAATCTCTGACCATAAAAAGGGAATTTTATCTTCTATTTCTGTGAAGAATCTGGTATGATATGTATGATAATCCTGCGGAATACGAAGGGTAAACATTAAAACAAGTCAGTTTGAAGTATATCCAGACGAATCTCACGAAGCCAACATTGAAATATATGTAACTAAGATCTTATTGATTATAACTAGTATCACAGACAGTTCAAATTCTACTACAATCTCTCCATCTTTTCAAATCAGTTTTTTTTTTTCGTTCACAGAATTCTCTTATAAGCCTATTCAATAACAGCTGTTTGGCTGCCATTTTGTAAATTTTAACTGTGATAGAATCATTTTTCAAACTTACCCATATGTCAATTTTTTGGAAACTAAAAATTTTGGGCCAGGTGTTTTTTGTTTTGGTTTCATTTTTGCAAGAATGATCACCAGATAGATTGTAATGTATATTATATTCAAAGTAAGTGGAATTTATGGCCATATCGAGAATGGGGTTAAGTGAACTATTGTTCAGGCAGGACAATATGCCATTGTGCCTAATTACTAATATGCTTTTATGTACAGTGAAAAATATGATTTATGGTCAGTGTGCATGGCTGGTTGAAGGATAAAGGTCATTGTTTGGTTGTCTGTCATATATATTGTATGAAATATGACCAGCATGTTACCTTTGTGAAGCATTCTCAAAATCTAACAGAATGCAAGATCACTTATAAGTCACTAGACATGTACATCTGACTTATGAAAACGTGTGTATGGAAATACATATTTTTGAAGCAAAGGTAGCTAGTATATTGTAATTTAAATTTTGATTTTCTTTTGTTACCCTGACTTCGATTTTATTTAAATGATGGATTAATTTGTAAACATTCTTGCTTTTGTTGCTTAAAACAATAAAACAATGATTAGATACCTGCCATATGGTTGTTGCATGAGCTGACATCAAGTTTATTTTTCATGAGCATACAATTTTATGAATTCCTTTATAAATGTGCATTAAAAGTAGGTTCATATTTGTAGTATGGTTCAGTAGCATCTGGTGCAGTTGAAAATGTTTATCTTCATCAATCTGATTGATTGACATTTAAAAAAGCCATTAGTCGATTAATTTTTTAAATTAAAGAATGCTGCATTATTTAATACATTTTTCAATCATGAATTTAAATGGCAAGCATACAATTTATAAACCCAGATTCTTTATGCAGAATTTATAATCAATTGATATTTTTTTATTTAGTCCAAATCTTGTGCATACAAGATTTCAGATTCTTATTAATCTGAACAAGAAAACTTCTCAAGATATTAAACCTGCTTTTCATAAAGACATGTTTTAAATTCGACTAGATCTTGTTTTTCGACTGTCAGAGACTGTCACCGTCTTATGTATCCTTAGGCTTATGTCATTTTTTTTATCATCTTATTGTTTATTTATGACAATAAAACCCAGATTTAGTTGTTATTAATGTTATTAATGTAAGACAGTTAAATACATATTTTGTTCTATTATAGAATGAAAGAATCATCAGTGGATCCAATAGCAAAGAGGTGTATATAAGTAATTTAGATGGTCCACGAGCTTCAACTCCTATCAGGGATATATTAGGAGCAGATGTAATCGTTCACCAACCCCAATACCACGAACTGGAAAAGTTTAACAATGAGGATTTAGCAGAAGATGAAGATTATCCAATTCGCGGAACAATTTCTCCTCTTACAAATCAACGGTTACAACGATCCCTGGATCAAACGGGCAACGAGTTATCTTTTGTGTTCGGAAGACCTTCGTCACCCTGTGTAGACCAAACTATAGATGGTCGATGTTTATCACCTATTAACGAACAACGCCCACTTTCTCCTTCATCCGAAATGTTTACCATGAAACAGGATGTATGTAATATGGCCACTGATAAAGGAATAGAGGGGCATGTGGTGCAAGGTGGTGTATGTTGTGAACATTGTAATAATTGTTTAATAGATTTAAAACGTCAAGCTCTCAGGATTATGTTTCCAGATAATACAACACGGAATACACCTCTCAAGGTAAGATCAGTAATTATCAATCTATCACTTAAACATACATTATGCAAGAGCTAAATCTGCCTTTTGTAGGTCTTTCTTTAGGCCTGAAATGTTTTCTAAATTATTAATTAGACATTAATTAACTTATCAGGGCCATAATCAACTCTCGATGCCATCTTATGTGTCAGATTTTCACTGGATTTGAATCCAATCTGCTGCTCAATGCTCATTGATAAATAAATCAAGACTATGTTATTTGTTGTACAGACTTTAGTAATGTTGATCAAGACTAGGCCTAAAATTCAATCGCTAATATCTTGGTTCAGATTGGAGCAAAGTGACTGAAATTTTCAGCATTTTCCCTTTACATTATTTAGCTTTTAACTATTATAGTGAGAACTGCCTGCTCTTTATCTATCCAACCATAATTCCCCTTCTCCCTTGTCAGTGATGCAGGACGGAGGGGCTGACAAGGAAAGCTGTTTAGTCGTTCGGATGGGACGAAAAACTGAGGTCCCAGGTACACATTGGCGTGCACGTAAAAGATCCCTTGGCAGTTGGAATTCGATATAAGAGTAGGCCGTAGTGCCGCTGTCCGGGCAAAATTCCCCTCATAGCACACTGTATGGCGTATGCCCGTCTTCATTAGCCCAGGTTAGGAGCAGAACAGTAGGACGTTAAACTCCATTTCATTTCATTTCATAATTCCCCTTTAATAAGATATTTGTAAAATAAAGCTACAGGTAGTAGGCTGGTACTGGTTACAAAGATTTCTGTTCCTAAATATTTGATTCCTCCTTTTGAAGAGAAAGAACTAAAGTTTAAGTTAGAAATTATCCATTTTAATGCCCGGAATAAGCTGCATATATAAATCCTATGTGTTTTATCAAGAGAGTATTTCATTGTTGTATATAAATATGGACAATGCCAGTTTCTTAGTGTAGGGCAACTAAAAAAAGATTAAGACACTCTGTGCTAAAAATTCAGACAAAACTAAGCAAACAATTTAAACCATAAACATATTTTATATAAAACAGGATCAAATGTTCTTCTTTCGATAATTGTATAGAACAAATAAGTGTACAGGCAAGACAATGGATACATGACAAGACCAACCAAAACATTTCTGTTTTTTTGCACAAGATGTATGTAAAAATTTTATTTTGGATTCACCTCAACTGACCATGTGCAGTACTAGGGCATGTATACTCAAAGCCATTAAAAACACAATGCCAAATTCAAAGTTTATTTACTGCAACAACTTTTAACAAATGTACACAACAATTGACAAAATCGAGATAACAAGCATCTGTGGATCATGAAAGAATTCACTACAAATGCACAAAACCGAAATGTCAGAGAACCATGAAACAAAGCAGGGGTCAGCTGAAGTCAATATTGGGTATGTCCACCCTGAGCTCTTACACATGCCTGAAGTTGCCTTGGATGGACTGGCACAGATGTCTCACTACACGCTGTGGGATTGTTTGCCAATGATTTTTGGAGTGCCTGTGCCACCTCTGCAACAGTTCGTGGTAGCACAGCTTGAGTTCGAACCCGTCGTCCAAGTTCCTCCCAAAGGTGTTCGATCAGGTTCATGTCAGGAGACATAGCGGGCCAATCCATAACACAGACATGATGATTGTTCAGAAAACTGAGGTTGAATCGGGATTCATTGGAGAAGATGACATTTCGCCATGGTGTGTTGTGCAGATACCCCTGATTTGCGTCCCATTGCTGTCTGGCAAGTCGATGACAATGCAAAAGGATTTGACCTTGGTATGGTCGACGGCAGCATAATCCAATAGCAGCCCGGTGCCTTTGGACTGTTTGAGGGCTGATCTGACATTGCCGTTTTCCAACAGTTCTCCTGGCAGTAGGAGTAGCTGACTGGAACCTGTTGCACAGATGCTGTAGTCGGATGTGGCGATCTTGAGCAGTGGTTGTTACAGGTGGCGCTCCAGGTCGGGGTCGATTGGCAACTCTTCCAGTGGCGTGGAAGCGTTGAGGCGAGCAATGGTCGATGGGTGGACATTAAAGTGTCTGCCGACGGCTACCTATAAGCCCCCTGATCCAGCATGCCAATACATGTAGCTCTGTTCCTGTTTTCCGGGGTGATGAAAGTTGAAATTTTGATCTGTATTTAAAGGGCCAGAGTGCAGGGAATGCACGTGCAAAACGTGTGACATGGGACTGCTTAAATTCATGAAAAAAGATAAGTGTTGCATTTGCACGAACAAAGTTCATTACTGAGAACTGATATTGGGTACAAATCCAGAACTCCACAAAAAGAGACCCATCACAAGTTTCACCTATGAACCATAAGATAGGAAATCCCAAGAAAACTTTTACCAGAAATATTTCACGAATTAGGCAGTGCATTTTTAATAGCTTTGAGTGTAGAATGTGTTTGTACTGTACATGTTTGTGACTGACCTATCTTTTAAGGTTATTTTGTAAGAAATGTTTTTGTTGATAACAATAATCTAAGATCAAAGTTGTACTACTTGATTCCTAGAGAAAGTAACCTGATATAGAAGGGAAGACTTTTAGACCCATCCTAACATCCATCTTAAAATATACTCTACCCCTACATATGTTTAAAGATGGTAATATTAGAAGCAGGTCTTACAGTCAGACAGACACAAACCCAAATACTTCAATCATACTGTCAATTTAAATACTAACAATAGGTTACATACATGTATTTCTAATTTGAAACAAAATACTGACATGAAACAAACCTCGATAAACAGACAGTTTAATCGCACTTTCAATGTCTGGCTGAGTCTTAAGGTTTTATTAGAATTTGCTTTGCTACATAGTAATGTTTTTCTTTCTTTGATTTAGGACAAAAAATTATTTGTCGATATAAATTTTTGTTATATGTTGATTTGTTTTGTGGGATGAAAATCTGTCTTTATTATTGAAAATTTTATGATCAAAGATAAAGCTAGTGTTTAGATGACCGTTTTGGTGTTCCACTGTCGATATTTAATCCTTTCAATGCTAGACGTAAATCCACTGCCTGTGCTAGACCCGTTTTTGACGAAAAAGAGGGATTTTGAACTAGATGCCAAACAATACTTATAAAAGCTTTTTGGGGAATTCTTTTTGTGTGTTGGGATGGGTATAAGGTTGGACTAAGAGGAAAAAATAGAATTTTGGAAATATGCATAATCATATAGTCACGTGACGTCATGGCGGCCATTTTGGATTTCTCTTTTTTCTCTAAATCTATGGCAAAAACAATTTTTTCTCCATGAAATACTTATGGGATATTGTTTTTTTCACTTGATTTTGATAAATATATATAAAATGAACAAAAATATCAAGTTTTGATTATTTATTGTTTGATTTCTTCACAAGAAGACAGGAATGTATGAAAGATACCAGAATCGTGAATAACCATGAAAGTTGAACATTTACTCGTCTCCATCGGAAGAATCTCCATTGTCTCCATTAGAACTTACAGAGTAATCAAATTGTGTGTGATAGGCCTTGAAACAATCCTGATCTGCATGAAGACCTGGCTGGCTTGGACAGTCAGGGCAAATCCAAACCGTCCTGATTTCTCTACCAGCCCTGCTGCGAAGTCCACGCGCCCAGCACACACGACACATTTTGTCCTTTCTGTACCCTGTGTTGCCAGCCTTTGCCTCTCTTTTCTGAGGAAAGTGTCGCCCTTTAAGCCTGTGTACTGTGTCTGTCCTTATAACTTCTTTGTTCAGTTTAGGACTGGAACTTATGAGTATAGCCAGGAGGTCCTTGAGGTCCGCTAGGAAATCTTTGGTAGACGGCGTGAACTTGCGATGAAGTTTATGCGCACACAATACGCATGCCATGAACAACCTCAAAGCTACCTTTTTGTACCATTTGTATGTCTTCCGCACCACGGTGACACTGTACCATATGATCTACCATATCAACCCCACCCATCTTGTGGTTATAAGCAATGATGCAGGCAGGTTTAGAAATAGGATTTCCATCTTTGTCATCTTTTCCAGTAGGAAACATAGCAGCACTTCCCTCTGTGGTCAACATACATACTTCTTTAGGTTTGCCATTTGATTTGTCCTTTTTTGCCCTGAACTTGACAGCTAGCATGTGCCCTGTTTGTGATTTCATGAAACATGATGACCCCTTCTCAAGTCGTCTAGTGCCAAGGTCACCAGGATAATTTGCGCGCTTTAGGTTGATGGTCCCACAGAGGTATGTAGCCAAAGCAGGAGATGTGTAGTAGTTATCAAGATACAGCGTGTGGCCCAGGCCAAGATATGGTTGGATCAGATTCAGAGGGATTCGCTCAGTTACCAGCATTTGAGGTTCTGGATCATCATGATCTCTAAATGTGTTTTCATCGGAGTAGACTATAAAATCAAGACAAATACCCTCGGATGTAGTAAGTTCATAGAACTTTATTCCAAAGCGAGACCTCTTAGTTTGGATACATTGTTTGAATAGAAGTCTGCCCTTAAATAATAGAGACTCATCAACGCCGAGATCTTTATCAGGGGCATATACCCGCCTCATGCGGTCCCTCACCTTTCTAATCAGTGGCCTTACCTTGTAAAGCCTGTCCCTATTGGGGTCTTTTGGGTCATATGCTGGGTCTTGATTATTTGCAAAATGCAGGAATTTCAGAAGAAGGAAGAACCTATCCCTTGTCATTATTTGCCCAAATATAGGGGTTTCTACCAGATCTAGCTTTGACCAATACATCTCCAGCCTTGGTTTATGAATAATACCCATCAGTCCAAGTAAACCAAAGAATGTCTTCATTTCTGGTACAGTAGTGTCTTTCCAAGAATGAACCCTGGAAAACTCTTTGAAGTTGTTCTGGTTCTCCTGAATGAACTGGTGAGCATATCGATTTGTTTCATCTGCAATATAGCTGAAGATATCGTCAGTGAAGTACTGGGCAAAGAATTCATCAATAGTAGCATTGTCACCAATTCTAACTTTGAGTCTCTCGCCACCGACGAATGGAATTTGTTTTGGCATATAACTGTCATTCTGAT